TATTCTGAGGATCTCGGGGCTCCTCCCGAGTTTTTAGTTCTGTGCAGATGTGTAGATGATCATCCTATGAGAGGCACCAAGGTCCCTCCCAAAGCCCCTGGTCTCCCTCTAGAGAGACTCAGAGGACGGGACATTCTCCAGGTGTCTACTGGTTGGTCCCTCTCCAAAGTGCTCTAGTTAAGTCCTCTGGAGACTACTGGGTAAAAGAGAAAATAGTTCAGACTACTTCCTAGTCTTCTGGGTCCACCAGCTGGAGAGGTATGGGAATCGAGTGCTCCTGTGTGCCTGGCACTGGGCTAACCACCTTACATCCAGCAGTGGGCTGGGTCCTCTCGCTGGCTGCCGTGTGGTAGGAATCCATATCCGTATCATACAGGGGAAGAAACTGAGGCTCAGAGAAATAAAGGGACTTACCCCAGTCACTCAGCAGAGCCAACACCCAGGACTCAAGTCCTGGTCTGACTTTTAAGACTGGTGTGACCTGACCGTGTCAGGCTACATGGCACTGAATATTACCCAGTCCCTGCATTTCAGGTGTCCTACTTCTCCTTGAAGTCGGGGGGTTCAAGGCTGGATTGGCCAGCAGATGTGCCAGGAGAAACTGGAAGCTGAGATGGGGTGAGTCTTCCTGTTCAGGCAAGAGTCTGCTGAGAACCTAGAAGGTGGAGTGTTGGACTGGAAGGCCTCTTCAGGCATCTTCCAGGCTCCGTCGCTAGGGCCTGACAAAGTTGCACAAGGGAATGGGGGGTTTGATGATGCTGGAGCCCTGGGGAGCCTGGGATCCTTGGGCCCCAGCTCTGGTCTCTTCCCTGAGCGGGGCTCCCCTCACCCACAGTCCCTCCCACTGTATTGGGCCCCCACCCCCACTGCAACACAGAAGGGGGCTAAATCCTTGGAGAAGCCATCCTCCGACAGCCTCTCCCTTCAAAGCTGCCCACTGAACACGCTTCCCCAATGTTCTCCTTTACATTTTGCCTACATATTTTTACAGCCAAACAGTGCTTTCAAAGACTTCCTTTTTCATCTCCTAATTAATTTTTATCTTCCCAGACGGAGGGAGGACAGCACAGGAGATGCTGTTTGTGATGTCTGCTGCTCCCCGACAACTCTTCAAATGAAATTTCCTTTGGAGCACCGGTGCCCCCGACGTTGTGCATCTCCCAGGCTGCAGGGTGGGTGTGAGGGCTCTGGTCCCCCCGACCCCCATGCCCGCCCTCCTCTGAGCCTGACATCCCCCTTCCTGCCGCTGCCTCTGGATGGAGTGGGTTCTCTCCCTCTAGTTCTCCTCTCAGCCAGGGACTCTGCCTGAGGGGCTGCAGCTTAGCCAGGAACACAAGCTAACTACAGGACCGAGGTACCCTGCCATGCCCTCCAGGATGCCCAGGCCTCAGCCTGCTCGCTTCCTGTCCTTAACGCACCTCCTGCATCTGCTCCCCTTGGCTCCTCCCACCTCTTGGTTCATCCTTTGATTCAGAGAAGGTGGCCACTGGACGTGAATCCCTCAAGCGGCTACGTCCTAGGCAGCAGGACTGCTCGGGTTGGGGCGACAGTGCAACTGGCTGCGTGGCTTGGCTCTTCCCCCACTGACTCCCAGATCGTGGTTGACTCCTTCCAGAAGCCACAGGCACACAGGGACAGAGAGCATGGGCACCGGTGCCAGACGGTGGGGGTTCGAATTCCAGCTCTGCATTTCACTAGCTGTCGATGGCAGGCAAGTCCGTGGGAAGTCAGGTCCCTTCGGAGCCCACCTTCCTCAGGTGTCGAGGGTAGATGAGTGATAATAATGGTCTCTACCAACCAATGTTGTGAAGATGAGATGCATGAATGCGGGTCAAGTGCCCGAACGTGGCTGGCCCCGCGTCAGTGCTAGACAAATATTACTATTACCGTTGACCTGGCCAATGTCTCCCGGACATCCTGTGGCTACTTCTGAAGCTGATCCCTGTTCCACCCCAGTGCCATATCCACTCACGGGCGGCGGGGAGGACCAGACCTCCAGAAACCCTAGAGTGGGTGTGCGAAAGGGTGCTGCGTGTGCGCACGGAATTATCTGTCCTTGCATCATGCTTCCACCACTGATCTGCTGTGTGATCATGGGCAGATCACCCACCTTCTCTGTTTCTCCAGGTTAACCTCAGGGTTCCTTCCAGCTCTAATTAGAAAATGATAATGAGGAGGCTACCACCTCGCTGGGGAGAGGGCTGGGGAGTGGAAGGGGGAAGTATGACTGGAAAGCCCAGCTATGGAGGACCGGGGCTGGGAGGGTGGGGAGGAAGGAAGCTCGTCCAGGGAACTTCTGGGCAGGTGCCGTGCTTGTAGCTCATGATCTGAGGTATCCCCAAATTCAAGCCCCTCTCTGCTTATGAAGCGGTCCCATTGCTGCGGTCCCTGAAAGGGAACCTGGCCTAGAAGAACTTCACTTGAATTCAAGCAGGAGACATGTGGCCAGACTTCCAGGAAAATTAACTGCTGATTGGGAGAGCCGGAAAGTGGGGTTGGTTCTGCAGCGGGATGAAGAGTGGCTGATTCTGGCCAGGAGCCCTTGTGAGCAGGGGCCCTGGTTCCCCCCCATCCCAGCTGGGTGACAGCACCCATGTCCCTCCTCTGCCCTCCTTGCTGCACTGTTTGCAGGGAAGGCACGTGAGGGTGGAGCAACCTGCTGGAGGTGCTGCCTGATACTGAGGACAGCAGCTCAGTGGGGAGCTGGAAGCAGGCTCCTGGAAGCCAATCTGAGCATCTTAGCGTGGAGGGAGGCAAGGGCATCCAATCTGCGGCAATGAGCCTGCACTGGGCTTATTTATGCTGCTTCCCTTTGATCGGGAGCCCTGCCTTGAGATGGGCTCATGTGTAATGCATGAGATGCTCTGGCTCAGTCAAAGGGCTGGGCCACAGCCTGGAGACAGGCACGAGCAGTCACACTCGCGCCAGCGTGCGCGCGCACACACACGAACCGAACCATCACACCTGCAAACACATGCATGCACAGGCCATCACACACACACACACACACACACACACGTGCGCGCGCGCGCGCGCATGTGCTATTACACATATACATGCATGGGCTACGACACCCATGGATGCCCATCCCCCCATGTTCACTTGTCTAGATACATCCATGGGGACATTCAGGCAGATAGACACACATACAGTCTCCATGCACACATGCATTTAACCTGTGTACACTCACAGGCATATACCCATATGCCCAGAGCACAGAGACGCCCACACACACATGCTTGCAAGCACACATGTAGATTTTTGCAAATACTCCTGTCCAAGCACAAAGACACACACCCCCCCCCGCACAGGCAGACTTTGCACATGGGTCCCTGTGTGTACACATACACACCTAAATGCATGTTTCTGTGGATTCTATCCTGTGACATACACACACACGTCCATACACATACTGACATACTGCTCACACTCATGAACACACACCCAGGGTCCCGGAGAGCTCCTACCGTGCCCATGACAGTGCTTCTATCCGCCCCAAATGCATCACAGTGACCTCTCAGGAAGGCCACATTGGCTACTTCTTGGTGGAAGCAGCAATGTCATAGGAGGGTGCCCCTTTCCTCTCTCTCTCCTCTTCACTAAACATCTGCTTCCACCCTCCAGAAGGGTTACAGGGGAGGGGAGAATGCTGGTGGGGCTCTTGTGAGCAGGAGGGAGAGGCTTTCCCTTCCGGTCTTCTCCTCTCCCCTCTCCTCCATCAGGCCCAGCTGGAGGCTCCGTCTATCCCTCCGAGGCTTAGCCTGGAAGGAGACCAGAGCTGGGGGTTCAGAACCAGGGCCCAGGCTTCCAAGTGACTAATAAATAAATAAAGGGATGAAGGGACCCACAGCCCCCAAGTTCCTGAATGCTGACCATTTTGGAGAAACCATGAAAGCCGAGGTTCTCAGGGTGGCCCTGGGACCAGCAGCAGCAGCGGCAGCAGCACCTGGGAACTCCCTAGAAACTTGCTTTCTTGGCCCTGTCCCAGACCTACTAAACCCGAACCCCGGAAGGTGGGGCCCAGGAATCTGGGTTTTCTCAAGCTTCCCAGGTGATTGGGATTCACACTCAAGTCTGAGAACCGTGGCCTAGAACATGGGCTTTTGGGGGAAAGCAGGCCTGGGCCTTTCAGCTGTGAGTGCTTGGGACAATCTGCTTCATCACTCCGAGCCTCAGTTCCCAAATGTGTCACGTGGAAATAATCACAGTGCGTACCTCACAGGACTGGTCATGAAGATTCAGTGAGGCCAAGCTAGTATGGGCCGCTGTGAGCTCTTGGTGGTGGCTCTTGTGATTTTTACTTTCATTTCCAGAAGGACATTTACCGGTTCTCAGGGTCTGTCAGTCTCCTAAACCTTAGCTACCCAACCGGTTGGAAAACCTTGGGGACCTGAGTCAGGACACTATAAAACAGGAGGAGGAAGAAAGCCATGGCCAGATCCTCGTTGAAACAGTGACCTGAGCAGGTGATGGGGGCTTTATCCAGACACCAGCAGTCCAAGAGCGTAACATGTGAAGAAATGCTCTTAAATGCTTATTTAAGTTTTAACCTCCTCCCTTCCTTGAAGGATGTGCTCCCTGCTGCCCTCTCAGTGATGGAGAGCTCCCGGCCAAGGGCAGGTCAGGCTCTTGGGACACAGAAGCCATTGAGACCTTAAGCCAAGGGCAGAGAGCCCCCTGGCTCCCACACCTGTCTGTGTGTGTGGGCCATGCTTCCCTTCCCTCTTTTCCAAGCCTCATCTTTCCACCTGTCCTCCTCTGAGGATTGAAGAAAATAGCACATTCGCCCTGCCTGTCCCAGGTATGAAGATTTGTGCTGGGACCAACTCAGGTGGCCACATCCTCATCAAAGCTCTCTAAAGCCAATTGGTCTCAAACAGGGTGGGATGGCCTGAGCCCTGGGGATTCCTGGCCCATTGATGCTGTGAAATGAAGGGTGGACAGCAAAGGGCATGGGAGGGTCAGCTTGGGGGCACTGCAAGGGAGGGAGAGGCTCTCACCTTGAAGAAGGTCATGGTGGCCCCATCCTTCACAGCCCCATACTCGATTTTGGTTTGCTTGGCCAGGTCATCAGCAGAGTCGATGGGTGATTCCATGCGCTCCACGGTCAGAAAGGCAGCCAGGTTGGCCGTGTAGGACGAGATGATGATGAGTGTGAAGAACCACCAGATGCCCCCGATGATGCGGGTTGATAGGGCTTTGGGCATCAGTTCCGACCCTGGGAGAATGGAAAAGGCAGGTGGTCCCTGATGCGCGGTCTAGGGCTGCAGCGCCTGGGATCTTGTTAACAATGCACCTTCTCAGGCCCCCTCCCGGGCCCCCCTGAACTGGTCCCTTGAGGGGTGGGGCCCAGCAATCTGGGTTTGGGAAGCCCTCCAGGTGGTTCTGATGCAGGCTGAAATGGAAAAACCACTGCCCTAGGACCACACATGTGCACATGTTTCACAGGCTGGTCAGCCCTGGTCACCCACGGTTCAGAACGCAGGGGAGTCGAAACCATGGGGCTCTGGAGGGATTCCTGCTCCCAGCCCTGTGTGATCGCCCCAGATGCTCTCCCTCTCTGGGACCCCACGAAGCCCGGAGAGTCGTCCTTCCTCCATCCCAGCCTCACACAAATACCGTGAGGCTGCCAAGGCATAATTGCAGGAGAAAGTGTGTTGCAAACACAGGCGGTATACAAACACGACATTGCCTGTTGGTGCTTTACAAGAGGAGAAAAATCAACATTTTTGCAAGCTTGTCTCCGAAACAGATCCCTCTTCCTTCCCGACCTTGGGTGTGGAGCACAATTTAGATGAAACCCTCTAACTGAAGTAATTAAATAGGCGGCTTTCAAGAGATTTAAATAGCAAGTGACTCCTGAACTTTCCAGAATATTTGGACCTGCAATCTGAAAAGTGTCTGCTTTGATATGGGTGATTTTTTTTTTTTCCTCAAAGAAATCACTCAAAGGAGAGTTTTTCAAATACAGAACTATTTTTCTCCCTCCTAATCAAAACCTCGTGGGGGAATACATCAGGGGCCGGGGCTTTGAATATAGCAGCTGGAGGAGGGAGAGGAGAAGCGATTCCTGCACTGGGGGGCTGTCAGGTCTTTCCCTACTGTCACTGAAAAAGGAAAATGTACGAAGAAGCAAGGTGAGGCTTTGGGACACTCATTAATAGAGGGGACAGAAAGAAACACTTCCTTTGAAAGCCGCCTGTCGCTTCCCAGCTCTGAAGACCATGGAGGCTCCTCAGGCTCCCCTCCCTCCCCAACCACATGCAACCTCATCTATCTGCCCCACCACCCCCCTGCTACCTCCCAGATTCCTCCAAGCTAGGGCTAGAGCTGTCCCCCAACCCCCCGCAGGGGAGAATGACTTGTTGGCCTGGTGGACTGTGCCAGCCTCTGCTGGACCCCTACCCAGGCTCCTGCCCTGGCCTCTGTCATGACTGGGAGATGGCTTGAGTTGGGGGCAGCTCTCTTTCTCTCTCTCTCTCCTATTCCTTCTTCATTCAAGTGCCCAGCCCAGGGCTTGGGATATAGTGGTCACTCAGGACGCTGGGATAATAGCATTCATTTGGCATTTGCTGATGGATGTCTACTGAGGGCCAGGGTTTGGACTGGGCCTTGAGAACACACACAGGTGAGTGAGGGACAGGGAGTTTTTGCCTCCTGGCTCCCCTTCCCTTCCTTGTCCCCTTGTCACCCACTGCCCCTTAGCGGGATCCTAATAGAGGCAGAGACTTTGGTTCCGTCCCCATCCCCCTATCCCATTCCCCAAGTTAAGAGGCTCTGGACATGTGACTCGACAGGCAGAAACAATGAGCTTTTGGCTCCTGGTAAGCAAGGCTGGGGAGGAAGGGTCCTCCCTGGGCAGAGGTCTCCTCTCTTGGTACCTGTCCTTCAGCCCATGGTGTCTCTGCACCCAGTGCAGGTGCTCTGCTCCCTGAGACATCTGAGCAGCTGCGGATTGGGCCAAAGGGCGGGCCAACTGGTCAGAGGCAGGTGCAGTATACCTGCCCTCCCTCTGCAGGTTGTAAGACAGCGCTGTCCTTCTGTGCATACCATCCCTGAAGCACGCACCCCCTTGAACATGACCCTTCTCGCTCCCACACTCCCCATGGCCAGATGGTCACTGATTCCTATTCCTGCTACACCCTGAAGCTCTCGGAGTCCGTCTCTGTCCTTTACCCCCATGGCCACCACCCCTGTTCAGGTCTCATCCTCTCATTTCTGCAACGGCCTCCCACCCAGCCTCCCTGCCTCCAGTCTCCCCCTTCCTCTGCTCAACCTGACCCAGCTGGCATCTAAGGTGATGGAGCCAACAGTGGGGTTGGCCCCAGCAAGCAGGATATTGTCCATCCACCGCGGCTGTAGCAGGAGAGGTTAGGGATAGAGCCCTGCCCGGCACGGGTGGGATGGCTTCTCTGTTTTAGCCTCAGACCCTGAGGCCAGTCCAGCCCCAGGACCGGTGGAGGACAGGGTCCTGGGACAAGGGTACACACCCAAGTCCCCAGGTGTCTCCAACCCAATGGCAGCTCCATAGGTCTGAGGCTGTCCTGGAGGCTGGGTAGGCTCTGCCAACTCAGGAAAGGAGGCACCCCCACGCTCTGGAGAGGGGATCCCTGGGGAGAGAGGGCACCCACCTTGCTGCATCAAGGACCCCATCCCGAACCAGAAGCTGTTCAGCAGAGTGAAGTTGTTTTCCACCACCTCGGAGCCGGGATTGCAGGGGTGAGCATCGTACCACTCGTAAGGGCTGAACCTGCAACAGGGAGAGGGGAGCGGTGGGGTGGAGCTGCGGGGGGCCGGGAGGGAAGGGGCGCCCATGTGGGGGGTGGGGGAGCTGCCTGCTTAGCCAACATTGCTGGGCCATCACTTTAGCATCAATGTACTCAGTGCTCTGCTGGGGAGTCAGGGGATGGAAAATCAGGGCCATTTTACTTCTTGTTCTTTATTGTTAGTGCCCTTTTCTGGTTGTAAAAGTAATTCAGCAGCATCTCTTAAAATTAAAACTGCGCATGCCCTTCAACCTAGCAATTCTGAGACTCATTATCCAGCCTAGAAAAAACACCCATACAGGAGCATAAAGCGAAGCGCGCGAGGATGTTTATCAAAGCATTGTAATAGCGAAAAACTGGAAACAGCCTAAATGTCCTTCAACAACAAAATGATTAAGTAAACTCCATCAGAAGTGGGTTCTGCAATGTCACACGGCTCAGAGAGGAGAATGAGAGATGTCCGGAGGTCCTGACAGGGAAAGATTTTCCACCCGTACTGTTTGCTTAAAAAAAAAAAAAAAAAAGTGATAAAAGATAAGAATGATATGATCACATTTATATAAATAGATTCCTAAAGATAAAGTGCTATGTCTCTTTAGATACATGCGTATACAAATATGTTGGAAGAGTCTGGAAAGAGTCCTAATTTAAAAAATATCAGCGTTTGCCTCTGGGGAAGGGAGTTAGGAGGGCGGCAGGAATTTCTGGGCATCCTGTTGCTTTAGGTGGATTAGAGGAATTTTTAAAAAATGAGAATGGGCTTTTCAATTACTTGTATAGTTAAAATGAAAAAAAAAAAAAAGCAAAACATACGCTTCATAAAATATTCCAGCAGTATAGAAGAATACAATGAAAAAACAAAAGTACTCCAGGATCCCACCCCCGGCGAGAACAACGTGTTACATAATTGTTCTGATTTTTCTCTCTGAATATACAAATACCTGTATGACAGGGAAAGATGGTTACTTAAAGCCCCCCCACTGACTTCTAAGGAAGAGAAGTCCTGATAACTAGAGGGATCTTTGTTTGCTGCCTGAATTCCAGGCGGGAACATGGAAGCTGGAGGAAGCTAGAGCGCTCTGGGGGAGACGGGGAGACCCTGGAGAGAGCCGCCCGAGAGGCCCGCGTGGCCGGCATGGCTGACGTGGCTGGCGTGGCTGGTGTGGGGTAGGAAGTTGACATGAGAGGCCCAGAAGAGAGGCATGTCCAGGGGAATTTTGTTTTGTTTTTTAACGTATGACACGCTTTAAATGTGATGTTGGGACTCTTCCATCCCCCTTTAAAAAGCTTTAATAAATTATACATTGATCATCAAAGCCCACATGAGAAGAATTTTGTTTTCACAAAGTGGGAAGATTCTACACATATGAAATTTTAAAGTGAGGCTTCCAACCAAGATGGGGATATTCAAAGGGAATGACCACGAACTGGCTCGAGGCTCTGCAAATCCATAGGCAAGAGATAAAGGCTGAAGAGAGGAGAGGCGGAGGCTGCTATGGGAAGCTTCTGGAGAAAGCCTCAGGAGAGCGGTGCATTTTGGTGGTCCCCACATTCCCCCCGTGACGTCCTGGGAGAGGAGTGTCCGTGGGACTGCTGAGGGAGCTGGCGGGCGGCTCTGTAACAAGGTGGGCCCCGCCTGAGGGTCCGGAGGGCAGGGGTTGGGCTGATACGTGCCTCCCAGGTGCATGCAGGAGGGGGAGTCCCTGTCGCAGGGTACTGGCCTGCATGCCCAGATGCAGCCAGGTGGGAGGACACCAGGCCCACAGTGTTTCCCTGGACCGGATGGGCCCAAGCAGCAGAGAGATAAAGCCCAGCTCTACCCTGTGTCCTGTCCGAGAAGGGCAACGGGACGGTGACAGGGGAGACCATGGGGCAGGTCCTGCTGAAGTGGGCCCCTGAGCAGGCCAGGTAAGAGGTCCGATGTGCGACCAAAGGCAGAAATGTTGAGGACTCTATTGAACTCAACTTTCTCATTTCTGAATGGAAACAGTGTTTGTGATTAGAGAGACCCCTGGGGTTTCTGTGACCTGGATATGAGCCAAAAAGTGACAGACCCCAGGCCGAGCTTTCACGGGGCAAGGAGAGCCTCAGCCCTGAGCACACTGGGAGGCTGGGGGAGGGGGAGACCCAGTGAAAATGATTCCGGATGAGACCTCACCGGTCCTGAGTGTCTTACACACGCCTGAGTGTCTTACACCGGTCCTGAGTGTCTTACACATAGCCACGATACCTGTGATCGTGTTTAAACACAAGAAAATATCACACCGTAGTGCTACCTAGAACTTGGGACTTTCCTCTTACTAAGTCACCAGCCTCTTTCCAGAGCGGTTCTTCCGGATCTCCTTGCTCTCTGCAACTACTTCAGAGGTGTTTTCAACCACTCCTCTGTTGCTGGGGCTTGGCCTGCCCCTGTCCCCCACTGTCTCATACTGTGCTGGAAGAAATAGCCCTGGGGACCCCTCCATGGGCACCCATGCCGAAGGGCGGCCCTATCCTCAGAGGAGAGACTTTCTAGATTTGGGGGCACTATAACGTGGGCTCAGTGGTGATTTCAATAGGCTATATTCCCAGGGGTGGACCTGCTCCTCATGCTCAAACCACCCAGCTCTAGAAGGAGCCTCTTGGTCATCAAGTAATATAAGGGGCCCGGCTCTTCGCTGCCCCCTGAGGTGGACAGCGCAACAGGGATCCATTTTACAGGTGGGGAGGTGGTTTGGAGCAGTCAGGGGAGGGCGCCCCTGCCATCCGGGAGCTGGAAGGTCTGGATTCTAACCCCCAGGCCACAGGAGAGAACAGGAGTGGGCTGGATGCTGGACAGTAAAGAAGGTGTCCCCGAAGTTAGTGATGGTTTTGGGTTAATGGCTTGCAGCTGCAAAGGACTGTCACCGTCTTGCACAACGGTAGGAGCTAGTGGAGGCTGACCTAGCGATACTCGGTCTCCACTCCTGGGAGAAGATGACGTCCAGCCCCAGTGACAGAGGTGTAGAAGGAGCACCGGCTGGCTGGGACCATCTCTTCCCCGGATGTGACTGGAATGGGGCACTCAGGGCTGGACCTGCTGGCAGTTCACCCTTGTTCCTGCCTCTGATTTTAGGCATGTAGGGTTATCTTCTTGCCCCAAGTCCCAGCTCTCCTGCCCTCTGTGGTGAGAAGGCACCCTCCCTCCCTTCCTCTCTCCTTCTATGTGTCCAGGCGTAAAGCAGACCATCCCGGTGGTAGAGAAAGGCCTCGGTCAAGGCATGGACCCCTGGTGCTGGACAGACACAGGCCAGGCCAGGCGAGTCTGCAAGACAGACAGCCCTGGACCATGCCACAACCGCCCTGCAGGGAGTCTGGGGCTCTGGCCATGCTTCGCGGACCCCAGCTCTCGGGCAGCGGTGTCCAGCTCTCCCGCTGCCAGCACTAGCGGTCTGAAGGACACAGACCACATGGAGGGGGGACAGAGGGCCACGGCCACCCTAGAGATGTGTCGTGCTTGATCTTGACAGTCTTGGAAAAAAATCGAGTTAGTGGCTACCTATAAAAACCATGAGGTGTCACATAAAAAAATCTGAGTCTGTCTAAACACCACAAACGCTGCTGTGCTGGGCCTGCATTCCAGCCCAGAGCAGTCTGTTGGGGGCGACAAGCTGCTGTCCCTCTGGCCAAGTGTGTGTCCTTTGGGCCGCTGCGGCCTCTCCCCTTCCCCGCCTCCCCTCCCTCAAGCTTCCTGTCCAGCCCCATGGGCACCGGTGTTTGCCACCCCCATTTAAAATGGACGGGTCTTCCTCGGGGGTCTGACTCTGTAAGAAAAAGCTTTCGGACCTCGGGCACTGGCTGAGCCTCCCTGAGCCTGATTTGCTGCTTCTGCAAAGTGGGGAGAATTATCCCCACCTCACAGGCCCTTCGTAAGGATCAGGCGGGGTGGGTGTGAATTGAGTGACTGTTACGTAATGGGATAATTGTACTGTGACGCGGTTCATGGCCCTGTGGCTAGGTCCCTTGTCCCTCTCCTGTCCCCTCAGGTGTCCTGCGTCATTCCAGCAGCTGCAGAGGTCTCATCTCTTCCAGAAAGTCTCCCCAGGTAGGGGGCGAAGTGGTCCCCCTACAGGGGGCAAAAAGCAGGCTGAACGACCAGGGGTTGGAGGGGGACTGGGCGCACATTGCAGTCATGCTGGAGAAGCCGGAGCTGTTTTCTAGGGGTAGGGAGCCCAGAGGGGGCTGGAGTTGCTAAAATTATGGTGAGAGCTCTGGAGAGTGTCTCCTGTTTTCTAAGTCTTGTTAGGCCGTTAGAGGAAGCTGTGTAATACAGGCCTTTCCTGAAGGCTGGCCGGCTGGGCTGGGTGGACAGGCGGCACCCGCCAGCTGGCAGCCGAGGGTTTCGGATGCAGGACAATTTCATCCCTCACATCCTTTCCTTTGGTCTCTCTCTGTGCGGGAGGAGGGAGTGAAAGGGAACAGGGTGGGAGGAAGGCTTTCAAAGAAGACTGAGGGGGAGAAAAGGCCCAAACACGAAGTCCTTGGATCTCAAATTGCCTCTCCAGAGAAGTCTCTCTTCATATCTTGTTAGGGTTTAGAGAAGAAAGAACCAGGGCAGGGGCGGGAGCCTGGAAGGAGGGGGCAGAGGGTCCAGGGCCTAGGAGCCACCCACTTGGGGCCGGGGCAAAGGACAAATGTCCAGGTGGCCAGGGATGTGGATTATAGACAGAATCTTAGGTGGTGAGAGTTCAAATGCCAGTCACTTGTCGCTAGGATGGCTTTGGTGACCCTCAGATGTCTTCCCTTCCTGGGGGTGGAGGGATGAGATAATTATGTCACATAATGCCTCTAAAGCACAGAGCACAGTGCTTGGCAAACACTAGGTGCTCAGCAAACACCGAGCTAAATCTGTGCCCTAGTCAGCTCCTCCCACCATCCACCAGCAAGTATGTGCTGTGTCTCCTTTGTGTGAATGACCGAACGTGTAAGGGGGTGGCCTGCATGTGTTACGGACGGGGGCGTACGTGCCAAATTTTTGCACATGCGCCCGCGTGTGCTTATGTGACATGATTCCTCCTGCTGTGTGGACCAGGAGAACACAGTCTGTCTTGCACATTTCAGTCCACTTGTTGGACCATCCAACACACCTAAGTCTGCTGTCCTGGGTGCCTGGCCAGGCGGTGTAGCTCTGGGCAATGAATTAGCCTCTCCAAGGCTGCTCACAGGGCTGGTATAGCACTGCTGCCTCCCGGTCATGGACACAGACCAGGGGAAGGCCTGGGGAATACAAGCTTGGCATGGGGCGGGGGTGATCTGTGGAATATTCCTTGAAGGATACAAAGGGATCTGAGCCTCAGTGAGGGAGAGAGGAGCAGGCACAGCAGTGGCCTGAACCTTAGCCAGTGGCTAAGGACTGCTGAGGTGGGGACCAGTCTGGCTCCCTGAAACCCTGACCTTGGGCCAGAGCTCTGGCCAAAGCATGGCCCTTACCTGGCAATGACAAAGAGGACACAGCTGACCCCCAGATAGGCGAGGAGCACGTACATCCAGATGTCTGGGGACAGGGGGTTGAGGAAGGAGAAGACACTGGGGTTGGTGCCATTGGGCTTTCGATACAAGATGCTCACACCGAGGGTCATGAAGGGCTTGGAGAAGTCGATGGCTTTCTCGCGGACATGGGTGATGGTCAGGGGGGCCACAGCCAGATCTGCCTTCTGCAATGAGAGAGAGAGACACACACACAGACAGATGTGAGTAAAGCTTCAGACTAGCAGGGGACAGGCACCTCTTCTTGGAGGAGGGGGGAAGGAAGGGAGTGAAGTGGAGTCATTTCCAAAGCCTTAGAGTCACCTGACCACAATGTTTACAAGTCCTTCTCCTGGGCCGGGCCACCCACAGCGAGCTGCGGAGACAGTGATGAATTAGATGGAACCCCTGTCCTCCACGAGCCTCATGGCCTTCAGGAAGAGGACAGTGGCATCAACATGCAGAGAGGAATTCTAGGAAAGCTATACCCGTGTGGTTCATCCTCAAAATGGTGCTCCGTCAAATAGATACAGTTCAGCAATCTACAAACATTTAAAAATAGCTCACGTTCTTTATTGGTGACTTTCAAACATCATGAAGAGGACACAGAATCCAGAACAGACCTTGCTTGAATTTGCTTTCCTCTCCTAGACACTTCTTGACTACTTCTCCCTATTTTGGATATTCTATACTTCCTAAAAGCCTTAAAATCCAGTTGGACAAAAAGAATACCCTCTTTGGAGGCAGAAGTGAGTCCAGAGCCCTCTTTAATTGGTGAGGGGAGGGAAGAGGGCAAAGAAGAGGAAGAAAGGAAGGGTGTGGGGAAGGCTAGGAATGTTCCTGTGCTGGTCAATTTTAGCTCATCTCAATTTTTATGAGGGTCTAATTAAAGGTCTATTATCTCCTTGGTCTGAGCTTTTCCTGATGAACAGTCTATAATCCCTCATTCCCACCATTTCAGCCTCCTCCCCACTGTTCTCCCGCTCCATGAGGCCCCATTTAATGGCTTCCTTTTCCCCACATTCCCTTTTTCACCTCCATGCTTTGCACACCCATGCCCTATTGAGAATGCCCTCTCCCTGTTGGCTCTTATCAGCTTTCCGTATTTCTTTGCACATGCTACTTCCTCCAAGAAGCCCTCCCTGATAACCTCCAATGCTAAACCCCCATGAAGCTTGCTCTGCCCCACAGTAAGGTCCTAACTGGCTCAGTTGGAATTCAGGATGTGTGGCCATGTGACTTTCTGTCTTACCTGCCTATTTGCCTGTGTCTTCCTAAGGGCAGTCAGGGCATAGCTGATGCACTGCTTTGTCCTTCCTAACCCCCATCTCAGCTCTGTAATATTTGTTAATAGAGTTTCCTCTGGGATGGCTCCTGTGGATATTCACATATCAAAATGTGAACTGAGTTATCACTTCCCCATGTCGGGGATGGGCTGGAGAGAAAGAGAGGCCAGGTCCTGAAGACCAGCACTAAAGACCCTGTTGCAAAGGTGGGATGGCTGCTCTGAGACCCCTTTCCAAGGCAACAGTCTCTAGGCAGCTACCCAATGTCTTGGTCCAGATTCATTCATTCATTCATTCATTCATTTTATGAGCTTTGCTGAGTACTAGGGATACAGAGCTGAGCCATGAAGACATGGTTTCTGCCCTAGGGCTTGCAATCTAGTTGGGGAAATGGACACTAATCAAACCATTTACTAAATGGTAGCTGTTAATGCCAACTCTGACTTCACCAATCCTAGATTAGGAACCAGCAACCAACTGAAATCAGACTTTAAGGAAGGGAAGCCTGATCTGGGTAGACTCCGCAGGTCCCCAGGCTGGGGGTGGGGGATGCTGGCAAACACACAACTTTGACATTGCCAAGCCAATGTTTTTCCTTTTAATAGAAGCCCCCACAGTTGATTATTGACATTCAGAGCCTAAGCGTTCAGTGGACCTTAGGACCTGGGATGGACAGGGAGGGGGAGCCTATTAAAAAGCATGCATCACACTGGGACCTTCCATTTGTCAATTTCTGAATGTGGGCATTGGAAATTGCCTATCTTTGAAGGCAGAGGAAGGAGAATGCCCAGCTGCTGCCACCCTGGCCCCCTGGCGTCCTCAGGGTGTGTACAAAGGAAAGCAACAAAAAGAAGGGAACGATCAGGGAAGATGCAGAGAGAGTAACATGTACCTTCTTGATACCAACTGTGCTCCAGTCTGGGACACAGGGCTGAGCAGGAGACCCAGCTCCTGCTCTTACAGACTTTCCAGTCAAGTGAGCCCCCACTGGGGGGTGCCCATAGGACTCAGTGGGGTGGGGACCTGGCTGGGATATCCTGGAAGGTTCTTTTGATTCCTGAGTTCTAGGATCCTCTATAATGTTGGCATTAGAGGGGTGTAGTGGGCTTTTGTTCTAGAACATGGCCTCCCCTGGTCCTGTCCCTTCAAAGCACATTGCTTTGGGAGAACCTCAAAGTCAATATGCCAATCTTCCTCTGGCTTTAGCAGGTTGGATGAAAGGACTAGCGACGGGGGGATCTTGGTGTCTGCAGCCACGTTTGTTTCATGAGAAGTGGTCCAGGACTGGCGAGGAAGCCAACTGCAGGGCTGTGGGAACTCCTTCTTCACCAGCACTGTCCTGGAACCTTCTGAATCTTCCCACCCTCATCCTTCTCTCCGGCTCTCGCAGGTCAGGAGGTCTCACAGGTCAGGAGGTGGGCGTCCGTGGCATTCTGTACCTACAGCAGCGAGTCAGCTGGTCAACCTGCCCTTCTTCATGGGGAGCTTTGGTGCATCTTCTCCCTTAGGGTTCAGGAAGGCTGGCGTTCTCCACTTTGATTTGGGTTTAGGCAGGAAACGCTGCATTTCACCGTTGGTTACGATTTCTCTGAAAAAGGCATTATTTTTTCCAGCTTTCCTTGAAAGAGCAGAATAGATGTCAAGTCTCTGCTGTGTCAGTTCATTACTCAGAATGAAAGGCCCAACCTTGGCAGGGTCTTCCCACTTGAGCAACTTTTCTCTGAGGACGACTCATGAAATCAGAGGCTGTCAGACCTGGGTGAGAGGTCTTTAAGAACATCTCTTCCAACCCTCTATTTCTTATGGCGGGAAACTGAGGCTCAGAGAAGAGCCAAGGACTTTGCTCTCATATTCACAGTAATCATGTCCTTGAACAAACTAAACTTCTCACCTGTCCAACACATTCATGGGTCTTACAGATGATCTGTTGGCCCTGTCTGCCTGAGGACCTTTCCATACCTTATCTAAACCTCTCAACTGGGCAGGGCAACCCTTCCAGGACCTTAGTTTATCCCCATAAGCAGATTTCCACTTCCCGAGAATCTGTCCGGACCCACCTGGCACCAGCCTCTCTTACTAAACTCCATACTTGCCCGGGGCCCCTTGAAGCCACCACGTCTCCAGGAACCAGAATGAAGGCGAGAAGGACTTAACCAGCTGCAACTCTGTATTTCAGCCCAGAGGTCCAGCCACCTTGACTTCTGGCTGGACACTAGCCTTGTCCCAGAAAGTGAAACCAGGAAAACCTCCTCTCAGATTCTAAGAGTGGACTTGTGACCATGGTCCCACTTCTGGCCACTTACCACCTATCAGCCTTCTCTTAAGCCTTCTCTCTCTCTCTCTCTCTCTTTTAAAAGATTTTATTTATTTATCTGACAGAGAAATCACAAGTAGGCAGAAGCAGGCAGAGAGAGAGAGGAGGAAGCAGACTCCCTGCTGAGCAGAGAGCCCGATGCGGGGCTCAATCCCAGGACCCTGGGATCATAACCTGAGCCGAAGGCAGAGGCTTTAACCCACTGAGCCACCGAGGCGCCCCTCTTAACCCTGCTCTTAAGCCAGAGGTCCTCCCTGAGGAAAAAGTCTAAGCCCTGAACCCCAGCTTGCTACCTGAGTCTGGTGTCCCTGTTGGCCCCTGCCTACTTGCATTCTAGGCATAGTCTTTACCAGATTCCCCATCTCTGTGCTCTGCCTCTTGACTGGGATTCCCCAGGGTGTCCTGTTGCTCAGACGGGGACCTGCTGCAGTTACAATAGTAAGAAGCATGGTCATTGCTGGATGAGTCCCATATGCCAAGCATGGTTAAGCATGCTAATGTACACCGTCACAGACAATCCTTCCAGCAGCCCTGTGTGGCATTAAGTGTTACCATCACATTCTAGATGAGGGTACCATGACTCAATCAGGCCAGGATGTTTGTTCAAGCTCTACTCCTTTGGGTGATAAGTGTGGGTGGCATAGGAGTGAGCATAGCTGCCTTCCATGTTGGTGAATGGCTGAGCCAGTACTCGGACCCGCTTCACCATGATCTCAAACCCGCCAGGCAAGCCACACGTATGGGGTTGAATTGTGTGCCCCCTCCAAACAGGTTCAAGTCCTAACTCCCTAGGAGCTGTGAATGCGACCTTACTTAGAAATAGGCTCGGGGCGCCTGGGTGGCTCAGTGGGTTAAAGCCTCTGCCTTCGGCTCAGGTCATGATCCCAGGGTGCTGGGATCGAGCCCCAAGTCGGGCTCTCTGCTCAGCGGGGAGCCTGCTTCCTCCTCTCTCTGCCTGCCTCTTTGCCTACTTGTGATCTCTGTCTGTCAAATAAATAAAATAAAATCTTTAAAAAAAAAAGAAAGAAATAGGCTCTTTTTCTCCCCCCACTGAAACAGTCTTTGATTCTTGCCACTGAGATTAAACAGCGTCGGATAGATTGCTGGGAGAGTATCCTGGGCTGTGCAGAGGGAGGACACACTCTATCTTCAGTGGGCGTGTTCACCTCCCCAAAGATCAGGCTCTCTCTGGCTCCTGCGGAGTGCCCCGAAATTCATCAGTGAGCTCACGGCCACTCCTGGGCGTGCAGCACTGCGGGTTCTGACCGTGCGATGGCTCCCGGTGGGAGCCCGTGTGCATCTGGTCTCCGTGTCACAGTTGTTCCCTCACGTGTCCCCAGCAACACTCCCCAGGTGGTTTCAAATTCCCGTAATACCATTGCACACCTATCCCAGCAGCCAAAATTTTAGAATAGGTACGGATAATACCAAGTGCTGATAAGGGTGTGGAGCGACGGGGTCTCTCCTGGGTTGTGGGCGGGAATGTAAAATGGTGCAACCCCTCAGGTCACCGGCTTTTAGAGAAGAATGGAGCTCAGGACAGCTGCATGGAAGTGGTGCATCAGGCAAGGTATGTGGGAAGGAGCAC